TTAGATGCTGAAAAGGAAGATTCTCTTGTTCAGTATAAACAATGCTTGGAGAGGATATCTGAACTGGAGAGCAAATTACTACAAGCTGAGGAAGATGCAAGGACTTTTAGAAATCGAGCTGAAAAGGCTGAAGAGGAAGTTGAAAGATTGAAGCTGGAACTGACTAAGCTATCTGAGGAGAATGAAGCTATTGCAGTTCGTTTTCAGCAGTGCCTCGATACAATACAAACACTAGAGTATAAACTTGCTTGTGCTGAGGAGGAAACCCAGAGGCTGAACTCTGTCATAGACGACGGGATTTCAAAGTTGAAAGGTGCTGAAGAGAAGTGCTCGATTTTGGAGAGGTCAAATCAGACCATGCATTCTGATCTTGAGTCTTTGCTACAAACAATGGCAGTGCAAAATGAAGAAATTAAAGAGAAGCAAAAGGAACTTGGGAGACTTTGGGGTTGCGTGCAAGAAGAGCATTCGAGGTTTGTGGAGGCCGAGACTGCTTTTCAAACCTTGCAGCAGTTGCATTCTCAATCTCAGGAAGAACTCAGGTCTTTGGGTGCGGAGCTTCACAACAGGGTTCAGATTTTAGAGGACCTCGAAGCTCGTAACCACAGTCTAGAGACCGAGGTTTGCAAGGCTGAGGTCGAGAACAAGAACCTGAGTGAAGTCAACTTATCTTCTGCTCTAACAATACAGAACTTAAATGATGAGATGTCTAGCTTGAGGGAGCTGATAGGTAAACTTGAATCAGAGATTGAACTTCGTGTGAACCAAAGAAATGCTCTTCAGCAGGAAATTTATTGCCTAAAGGAAGAACTAAATGAGATTAACAAGAATCACCGGGGTATCAGGGAACAGGTTGAATCAGTCGGCTTGCACCCGGAGTGCTTTAGCTCATCTGTGAAGGATCTGCAGAATGACAATGCAAAGCTGAAAGAGGCATGTGAAAGCAACGCAAGTGAGAAACTAGAACTTTTGGGGAAGTTAGAGGTCATGGAGAATCTTGTAGAGAAGAATACTTTCTTGGAGAACTCCTTGTCTGATTTGAACGTGGAGCTGGAAGGGGCTAGGGAGACAATGAGAAAATTAGAAAACACATGTCAATCACTCATGGGAGAGAAATATGTTCTTGTCTCTGAGAAGACTGCATTGATCTCTCAGTTGGAGACTGTAACCAATACTTCAGAGAAGCTCATGGAGGAAAACACCATTTTGGAGACATCCCTCCTTGATGCAAATGCTGAACTTGAAAAGCTTCGACAAAAAGCAAACAGGTTGGAAGAGCTATGTCTTTTGCTTGAGAATCAGAAGTCTGATCTGGCTACTGCTAAAGCGAGTTTAACTTCTCAGCTGGAGGATCATGAGAGAAATTATGGAAACTTGGTGGAGAGACACTCAAGCCTTGAGAATGAGAAACTGTCCATGCTTCACAAAGTAAAAGAGCTACAGGTTTGTTTGGAAACCGAAAAGCAACAACATGTTGCGTTTGCACATCACAGTGAATCGCAGATCAATTCACTACAAGAAGAAGCTAAGCTCAAGAAGAAAGATTTCGAGGAGGAAATCGACAAAGTCATTAAAGCTGAGATTGAAATCTTCGTCTTGCAGAGATGCATACAAGATCTGGAAGAGAACAACTCTTCCCTCTTGCTAGAGTGTCAAAACCTTTTAAACGCATCAAAACGGTCAGAGAAACTGATTTTAGAACTCGAGCATGAAAAGCTGGAGAGAAAGGAGGAGGTAAAATGTCTGTCCGATCAACTTCAAACACTGAGGCTGGGGATTTATAGGACATCGAAGATTTTTGGACTCGACATAAGTCTGTGGGAAACAGATGAGGCTGGACTTCTAAACCAAGTTGTGAACAAGATCGAGGAAACACAAAACCTTCTCTTCAAGACGCAGGATGAGAATCAACAGTTATCCATCGAGAAATTTGTTTTTGTCACGCTGCTTGCGGAACTGCAGAGCGAGCTTGCTAATCTCGTGATTAAGAAGAACAGCGTTGATCAGAAGTTGAAGACCAGTACCGAGCAGCTGTTGGTTTTAAAGAGCGAGGGACAAAAACTTACGGAGTTGAATGAGCAGTTAACGCTGAATGGGGAGCAGAGAGAAATAGCCTTGAGTGCTGAACTCAATGCTGTGCATGCAAAACTGTCAGAGTTACAAGAAGCCTACAGAAAGGTAGAGAAAGAAAATTGCAACCTCTCTTGTGAGCACAAGTCCCTAGAGGAGGAAATGTGTGGAGTTATGTCCCAAACGGTATATGAAACTACCCTGTCTCTGATTTTCAAGAGTGTCATCGGTGAAAAGTTTGTTGAGATCAAGCTACTCTACGACAAACTGGATGAAGCACTCAATTGCAATAATGCTCTGAATGAGAGGGTCAAGATATTGGAGGTGAAATTGGACGAGCTTGTCATGCTGGGGGATGAGAAAGAGGTGTTACACCAAAAAGAGCTGGAGGGTCTGAAGTGCAAGTACGAAGAGGTTGAAGCTATAAAAGCAAGTCAGGAAAAGCAGCTGATAAAGCTATCTGGAGACTATGATGAGCAGAGCAGGGAGGTGAAATGCATCAATGGCGTCAAGAATGATCTGGAGAGTGAAATAAGCAAATTACGTGGGGATTTAGTGGAAATTAAAAATAGGGAGATCTTTTTGAATGAAGAACTGGGGAAGGCAAGAACCGAGGCTGAACTATGGGAGTCTGAAGCCGCTGTCTTCCTGGGCGAGCTGCAGAGCTCCGCTGTCCGAGAGGAATTGTTTGGAGGTAAGGTTCATGAGCTGATTGAAGTATGCAAGAGCTTTGAAGAGAGAATTTTCTCCACGGAAAAGGATCTGTCCCAGCTGAAGGAAAGAGTGAGCACCTTAGAGAGCGAAAATGGAGATCTCAACGGGAAAATGAGTGCATGTATCCCTGCCTTCGTAGCTTTGATGGATAGCGTAGCATCACTGGAAAATCATGCTCTTTCAAATACGACGACACTTTCTCAAGGCGAGATGGAGCAAGCAGAGGTAAATTTTTGTTTCTGTCTATACATGCATCTAAACTTTGGTTTAAAAAATTGCAGCAGATTATTTGCAAGCAGAGGTAAAAAAAATTGCAGCAGATTATTTGTAAACTACTACCTTAATAGTTCAGACAGGAAAGTGATATATATATCTAAACTTGAATGGCTGAAATTGCTAGGAACCTACCCTATGCACTGAATTATTTTCCTTAAGAGTCATTTCCAAGTGATTTTCTAATGTTGAAAGACATGGGAGAATATGAACCAATTTTGTTGGACCAGTTTTGCTTGCGGGGTTTATTTAATCTCACTGGTATTATTGCCTTGGAGTTTGGAACTCCAGCAATCTAGGGCCGTGGCTTTATTTTGTGAGCTCCTAGTTTGGTTCGTATTGCAGTTCTGGTCTTTGGCTTTCTAGCATATTTTATCTAAAGGTTTTGGACTTCTTTTTTTCAGTTCCAGGATGCTCCATCACAGTTGCAGGAAGAATCCCTCGGGGAAGAAACAAATAAAGACCAGAGATCAATGTTTTTGGACCTCCAAGAACTACAAAAGAGAATCAGGGCAATTGAAAATGCAGTCAAGGAAAAGGAGAGACTGATTACTCTTGAAAACACAACTGCAAACACCAAGCTCGAGGCCGCGATGAGAGAGATTGAAGAGTTGAAATCTGGAAGCAGCATGGCGGCTGAAGGAGGCAAACCTGTTGTTAACCCCAAAGCAGGAGCTAGATCCAAGAGTATTGACCTCAGGATGCAGAAACGAACACGTGGAATCTCAGAAGATGGTAGCGAAGTAATGACAAAGGACATAATACTCGATCAGGTCTCCGAGAGTGGAAGCATCAGAAGGTATCCTTCAGTTGAAACTCGGGAAATCTGGGAAGCTGCTGATGATGACGGTAGCATCGACATGACTGTTGGAAAATCTCACAAGATGTCCAGTGGTAGAAAGAATCACAGCAGCCGAGATCATCCCTCTGCAGAATCCATACAGTTCGAGAAAGAGGTTTCCGTGGACAAACTACAGATCTCCAGGAGATTCTCAGGGTCTTTCTCCCAGGATGCTACTAGCGAGAGAAAGATTCTGGAGAGACTGGATTCTGATGCTCAAAAGTTAACAAACCTTCAGATAGTTGTGCAAGATTTGAAGAGAAAGGTGGGAGTCGATGAGAAGGGCAAGAAGGTTAAAGGAATTGAGTACGAGAATGTGAAGGAGCAGCTGGATGAATCGGAGGAGTCCATCATGAAGTTGTTCGACTTGAACCGGAAGATGATGAAGAACGTTGAAAACGAGTCCTCAACGTCTTCCTTGTCGGCCTTGGATGATGAGAAAGCTGCTGCTCGCAAGAGGAAAATCTCTGAGCATGCCAGAAGAGGGTCGGAGAAAATAGGGCGATTGCAGTTGGAGCTGCAGAAACTGCAGTTTCTTCTGCTGAAGCTCGATGATGAAGAAAACAAGAGTGGCAGGGGCAAACCTAGAGCTCATGAGCGGAATGCTAGTGTCCTGCTGCGTGATTATCTCTATGGTGGAACAAGATTAACCCCGAAGAACAAGAAGAAGTCACATTTCTGTTCTTGTATGCAGCAGCCTGCAACTAGAGGAGACTGAGGAGGCGGCTGTGGCGTATCTGCCTTTTGCGGGATCTCCATTTATCGGTAGTGATTTTATGTAATTAAGGTCAAAGGCGAAGCTCTTTGTTGCTTCGAGCACCAGTTTTTCTCCTTTTTAATGCTTTACTTTGGTTTGCTACAAGTTGGATCTAGCGTTTTCGTATTTGAGATCCTGCTGTAAAATTTTCTGGCTGATTCTTATCGAGACCAGCTTCTGTCGTACAGTTTCTTCTTTTTTCAATGAGTTTGTCTCTGCCTTTGCTTGCATCTTTCCAAGAACATAGTTTTTCATTTCCGGATATCTAGCAGTGAATGAATGGTGCACAGGTACAGATTGTTCACAGCAGCGATAAACAAACAAAATGGAACACAGGAGTTTGCATTTCATACTGCCATTACATAAGACAAGTCCTTGAAGCATTTGCTCACTCTGCCATACAATGGACTTTCTTGTGACACAAGTAACTAGCTAGATTCCCCCTCAAACTTCTTCCCAATGGATGATCAACTTGCCCACACTGCTGCTCTCCGTAGCCAGAGTCATGGTGACCAGGCAGCTCAACATCAGGGTTCAAATGATCTCCACAGTCGATCACAATGTTGTGAAGCAGGCAACACACCAAGATAATGCTTGGCAGCTTCCGCTTATCGGGCCTCCACATCACCTTGCTGAGAATCCTCCAGCTTCCCTTCAGCTGCAGGAATGCCTTGGTAGCAAGTCCCCTTGCCCTCTCATGAACGTCATTGAATCCACTCATCAACGAAACTCCATCTCTCTCGTGCCCCGGAGTAACGAGCCAAGGAAGCAGAGGGTAGTTAACACCTCCGACGATGTACTCCCTGACTTCCACCCCTTCATCCAAAGCCCTCAACCCGCCATTCAAACGCTCCCCACTCTGGCAACGCTTGTAAAAACCCGAACACCTGAGAAGCCTATCCACAGTCATCCCTCCGGGCCAGCCGGTGACAATGTCGAGGAACCTCGACTCGTGATCGACGATTCCTTGCAGGAACATGCTGTAGTTGTTCTCCTGGTCGCACCAGTCGTCCGAGGTCTCGACTGCGGGCAGGGTCATGGTAATGTGGGTTGCGTCGATGGCTCCACAGCAGTTGGGCAAGTGGAAGAGCTCCTCGAACTTGGTTTTGATCACCTCGTTGTTATCAGGCCACTTGAGATGGTGCCTTGCTCGATCCTCCATTGATTCGATGAATCTCCAGGTGACTTGAGAGACGGTGGATTGCCCGACACCAAATGCTGCTCCGACGGAGACCTGGGACTCGCCGGAAGCTAGCCTTCTCAGGGCAATGGCGACTTGCTTCTCCACGCTCAGGAGCCTTCCTTCGATGTTGATTAGCCCCGATGGAGGTCGGGAGATGAGATCTTCTCGCACGATTGAGCAGATGTACTCGAATGTCTTGGTGGAAACCCTGAAGAAGTACTTGAACCCTTGCTCCTCATCGGAAGGTATTGAAGATCCTGGGTATCCAAGAGTTCAAAATTCTCAGAGAATGGAATTGATGGAAGAGCGAGGGGGAAAATAAGAGAGCGCGGGGGCTGTGGAAATGGAAACCTGAGATGTTGGAATTCTTGTGCCAGAAATTGGTCCACCATTCGGAGTCGACGGCTGTAGGATCCACGGGACCGGAGCTGCTGCTTCTGATTCGAACTTTGGTCTTCTTCTTCTTCCTTTTCTTCAATTTCTTCGTCGCCTTCTTGCTCTTCTTAGGGTTCTTGAGAGGAGGAGCCATGGCGGCTTTTCACGGAGAGAGTAGCAGAGCCGCCACCACCGGCCGCCACCACCCCGAAATGTTCTGTTCGGAAGAGTGATGGAAGACTCCGTAGTCCATTAAGCGAAGTTCAGTAAAACTCAAAAGGCAAAACGACATGCGTTTTGGTCCTTGCTATTATTATGTATACGTGTCTTTAGAGGCTTTACTCGTTTGAACTTGATACACAGTTTCTCCGGCGCCCTTGCTCACAGAGGAAAGCAGCCAGCGATGGAGGGGATAAAGCAGCTGAAAATCGAAGTACTCGAGCAGCCGCCTTCGGCGGCGGAGTTCGCATCGATAATTGAATCGAGGAACGTCCCGGCGGTAATTCTCCGCCTAGATTCAAGCAAGTTGTCTTGGTCAAAATTTTTTTTTTTTTTTTTATCACAGTCTTTTACAGTCTACTCGTTCTTCCTGTTCTTCAATTCTTGGTCGTTTTCGTGATAGGTGTTCACTGGCTGCGTTAAGAACTGGAGAGCTTTCGGAAAATGGGATCCTGCTAATGGAGGCCTCGACTACCTGCAGGTGATTTCATCCTAATTGTTGGCAAAAACGCTATTGGATCCTCAATCTGTCTTATATTTTCTTGTTTGAATTGAAATGCTTAATCATCAGGAGCCTTTGCGCATTTTGATGATTTGCTGCATTTCCTTCCTGTGTTCTGCTATACGCATGATTTTTTTCTGCTGTTTGATTCTCTTATGAGAACGTTTGTTAAGATGATGAGATTGATTGACAAGTTTGTGTGATTAGTTGCCTTTTGTTGGGGGGAGAAGTTCTGTTCGGTTATGAATTATTATTGGAATACAGGAGCGAGTAGGATCAGCAAATGTGGAGGCTATGTTGTCTAGATCAGCACCTGTCTTTTACGGCGATCTTAGAAGCCATGAGAGGGTAATTCCTTACATGTTTTTGAACTTGAGCTTGCATGACATTAGCCTCTCTTAATCTTCTTCTTGTTGTTGTCTTTTGATGTAGGTTCCTGTACCCTTTTCGACCTTCATTGACTTCTGCAAACCACGTGCACAAAACACTGATGATGCACGACATACTGCCTCTATTCCTCTACAAGGGGATGAGCTTCCAGTCTCTAATGCAAACCAGGAACGTGTACTTTCAGAGAGTATGTCTCACCAAGTATACTTAGCACAGGTAGGAACTGAGTGGTTTCGGGGGAAAGTAAGCTGTTTGATTGGATTTCATTTTGCTGACATACGTGATCATTCCTCAGTTATTTTGAAACCCTATAATGTTTCCGTATTTGAGGCGTGCAATATTGTACTTGTTGTCAGGTGTCGATTATGAATTCCGAGGACAAGAACAAGGTTCAACTGGAAGCTCTCAGGGAGGACATTCAAGTGGTTGGTACCCATGGTTATTATTATACTATCTTTTATAGATAGAGTTTCTAAAGTTAATGTTTTTTTTTTAAATGTCAGCCTCCATTTCTGGAGACGAAAGAATTGATGTCTATCAATCTGTGGATGAACAATTCTGAAGCTAGATCAAGTACTCACTATGATCCACATCACAATGTTCTGTGTGTAATTTCTGGCCGCAAAAAAGGTTCGAGTTGCTTTCTTCGTTGTGATGTTATTCCCCTGGTTAAGCATACATACACCATTGCAAGTCCTCGTCATTTGCCACAGATGTTTTCTATGAGGCCATTATTTCCGTTAGAAACTGCACTTTTTCCATTTGACAAGTCTCTGGTGTTTATATGATGCTTCCCATTTGAATTAGGTGATTCGCTTGCTCCTTTATGGAAAGCTGAAGTTTGATTAATTTGATTGAACTTCCTTTTTCACTGGGTTACATGTTGCATTAGGATAATGACCATGAGTAACGTTTGTGAACATAAAGATCTGCTTACTTGCGTTCTGTGCCTCATTGCTCTGTCCTTTAAGTTGGTTTCTGTTTCTTTTCCCCACTATTTCTTCTGCCATTTGCTTCAGCAATTTGTTCTGTTGCAGTTACTTTATGGTCTCCTTCTGCATCTCCTTCTCTATATCCAATGCCTATATACGGGGAAGCCTCAAACCACAGGTATGCTATATTTCGAATACCAAATGGGCTCTTAGTTGCTGCCTCATTCTCCACGGTTTATATTATGAAAGAAAATCGTTATTGGTTCCTGTTACACCGCTTATACACTTCGCCTGGTTCCTGATTTTGTCATGTAATTTCTCTTGCTGTTTTTCTTGTGGCTCACAGTTCTGTTGCTCTGGAAGACCCTGATTTTTCATTGTATCCTAGAGCACAATACTCAATGGATTATGGTCAGGAGGTTTTTCTTTCCGCAGGTGATGCTATCTTCATTCCTGAAGGCTGGTGAGGTCTAAAATGTAATGGTCTGTTGATTAATTTGCTTTACTTGAGCTCAGTTCATTGACTTCCTTAATGGTACAGGTTTCACCAAGTGGATAGCGATAATTTGACTATTGCAATTAACTTTTGGTGGCAGTCCAACATAATGTATAGCATGTTAGAACACATGGATGCATACTATTTGCGCAGAATACTGAGAAGGTATCCAACTTTATGCACAATTCAATTCATCTTTCTTATGAGTTTTAGGCTGCCTTAATTTGTATCATGATACTGAACATGATTTTATTGTCTTATCTAATGCTGCGACTTCCAGATTGACGGAGAAAGAGATGGTATGTCCCTCACCTTGCTATTTCAAGTAGCGCACAGGCAGTTGAAACAACACTCTTGCCCTTTTCCTTTTCCTTCAATTTGCTGCAATGTGCTTATTGTCAGCAATGCTTACGTTTTGTTTCTGCATGCTTTTTACTCGGTGACTTTAAATTTGTCCGTCTTTACACTTCAGTATCTGTCTGTAACATTCCAAGAGGGAAGTAATCTTGGATTGTTCTCTTTAGAAAAGACAAATTTGTTCTGTTACTTGTCAAAGAATTTCCTTTTTCGTTATGGTCCTGGTGTTTCATGGATATAAATAGGATATGGTCCGTGAAAATCTAACACTTTCTTGTTTTAGATCATTAGCAGAAAATGTTTGGGAGATTTTGAATGGTTGAAATATGATTTCCGAAATTCCTAGTTTTGTCTGGTTGCTTTTGGTTGTTATCTTTGCTGAAGAGAATAACTGGTTCATGTCTTATCCAAAAGGGCGGAGTGAATTGTGTTGCTGTTATGCTTTTTTCCCCATATATAGATTGACATTGAAGCAACTGTAACATATTTCTAAACCACAACAGAACCAAGTTCTAGATGAGGCTGCACTTAAGGGCACTGGGAAACCGATAAGATGCACTTCTGAGCTGCTGGGCGATGAGAAAGCAGGTCAGTTTCAGTACAGTAGTTATCACAGCAGGACTCTCTTTTCTTACTTCAATGCCATGGTAAAAGATTTCTGAATTATTCATGTATCAGTATTATGTTATCAGAATGGAGTCACTTAAATTTGGAACAGACGGGTCAGAGACAGGAGTTACCACTGAAGGACCAGCAGCAAGATATTAAACAAAATCAGTTGGAACCTTTCGCACTACAGGCCCTTCATGAACTTGTTTCGTTAGTACATGACCATGTCAACCTTGATCAAAGTCAAGACAACAAAACAGTGACTGCTAACCTGTATTTCCTAGAGGATGATCGGGTTGCTAAAATAATTTGGAGTCTTGATCCACAAACTCTCCAAAATGTTCTCCTTGCAATGGTGGTGAGTTTGCAGTTGTTTTATGGTTTCCGTCTTTTGCATACCATTCGTACTCATGGTTGTAGTTTCTGTTAATCTTGCGAGCAATATCCCTCATGGTGGCAAGGATTTTTCACTTTCTTATGTATACCTTTCCAGCATAGTTTCCCTAGAACCTTGGAGGCTCTAGTACTGCACTTGCTTTCACCAGTGGGAGCTGAAGTGCTTACAAGGAAGTTTGACGAAATTGATCAGCAATCCACAGAAGAACACCGGTATTATCAACTTAATAATTAGAGCATCCTATTGATTATGTACACTGATTCTTGGACTTCGCCTAAGAGTTCTTTCTTTTTCCCCTGTTTCAGAAACAAATTCTACCAGAAATTCTATAGTGCCTTTGATGACCAATTTGGTGCGATGGATGCAATACTTAATCAGAAAGAATCATTTGCCCTCCAGGTATTCCCATCCGGCACATTTAGATCTGCCTTTCTGTGCATCTTTGTGAGATACCTTTCCAGCTACTTGTATCAGGATATACACTCCTGACGTGTATAGGTGCTCAAAATGTTGATGCAGTACTGGTTTGAAACTAAGCTGATGTTGGTTTTTGTTTGTTGCTTTATTCAATGATTCATTTTGACGTAAAATAGTTGTTGTGAAATCTTACTGAAAATTTTGGATGGTGATAGCCTTATAGGGGCTTACCGTGATAGGTTTTTCTGTGGTCCGTTCAACTCTTAAACAGTGAACAGCATTTTATTCTCACTTGCAAGTTGCAATGATAGCTTTCTTACATTATTTGGGCAACGATGTAACATGGGCCTGCCAAATGGATCAATAACAGTGACGCAAGCACACTTGTAGCACTGAGGTGGGGAAAGCCCATGCAATGCGTAACTCCATCTAAATGTTTTAGAACCCACTTACCCTGCTCCCGAGTTTTTGCTCACATGATAGTGTTTAGAAAAGCATTTCTTTCTATCTTAAGAGTCCAGCATTTGGGTGCTGTAAACTGGACTTGTACCTGTGCGTGGCATCTGAAGATTCTGATTCTTCAACTCTCTGATCCCACTTGTGCTAGGGAAACATTCCATTAGTTTGTTTTTGTATTCCCTTTCAAATGGTACTAGGTCCACCTTGTTTCACTCGTCTGAAATTTACATTGGGAAATTATGTCGTGATGATCATTCAAAAACCCATCAAGAGGTTGAAGTTCACTACAAACTCCTAAAAAAGAGTTGGTTACTTGCTCGACTTCTGTCACACAAGTCCTTAGGTTTATGTCTTCGAAATGGGTGCAAAGTCATGCGTGTTTCTGAAATTTGCATGACCACAATCCAACTCTTTAATCTATACATTCCGTGAGAATTATCTTCAACTGTGGATCTGATTCTCATCGTAGTTATCTGATGAGTTATCTTCGAATTTGACCACGTTGAGCTTCGGCCCCAATTGAGCAGTCTCTTTTAGAAGGGTTTATCATGCAAGCAAAGGCCTTTGGGTTACTCTTTTGTTGATTCCCTCGGCACTTTTCTTATCATCATAACCAGCACCTTCTTCGTATATGAGTTGAACTTTATGTGCATTTTGGCATGAGCATGAGCATCTGCATCTTTTCTCTTTTATCCTTTAGTTGAATGCGGGTAGGCAGTGCAAAATCTTTCATGCATTCCCATAAGCAATCTTGTAGTAGTACGTCATATAAAGGTTCGGAATTTAGGCACCTTGTTAACACAACCAGATCACTAGAAGTGGAGTTTATCTTGTTCAAGTTTGAGCTTTCAGAGTTGAGACTAAACAAGCCTAGTACAGTTAGAATGTGACTTGGACATCGCTAGGGATTCTTTTTTTCGCAATATATTGTTGTTTTTAATGTAGGATCCGATATATTATTATAATTCTTACAAATTAAACATTGTATTATGACATGATATGGATTCTTTCAATCACACACAAAACTTTACGGAGTTGTTTAAATCTCTGTATTCTAAATTACGTGTTTGCTCCTAATAATGAGTTTTTATTACGTCCGCAGGCATTCAAGGAAACGTTGGAGAAGTACATTGGGGTTGTTCCTAATTCGCTAAAACCGTCGGTTGGATAAGCCCCGCGGCCAAAGATGCAGACTGCAAAGGTCAGTGGCGAATCTGAGGGCCACGTGATATCAACACAAAGAAGAGTCAATGGAGGCATTACGGTATCACGAGCTGGCTGGCTGGCTGGCTAGCTTTCTGTCTAAATCGGTACTTTCATTTCATGTGAGTCATCCACAAATTTTTTTTTTTTTTTTTTTGGGACAAACATACAATGATTGCCATCTCTGAATCGTTGCCTTGCTTTTATTTTCGTAGCTGTCAGAGATGCCATATTATCATACCATCCAAGTTATTCGGCTTTGAAATTTTGTTTGCGCTGTACCGATTCCTGTGCACATTTATGTTTAATGCGAGAAGATCTCTTCTTGTAGCTTTGTAGACCCTAATTAGGAGTTCATCATGCTTGCTAAGGCATAGAATTCGAACTATGTACGAGCGAGCAGCATCATGAAGCAATGCAGGATGGTGCCTTGAAGCTAACCCTTTGTCGATTAGGTATGTATTAAGTATTAACTTAAGTTTAGTAAAGGAAAGGAGGTGGTGATATGATATGATGTAGGAGATGCAACTTTTCAAAGGTGCAGTTATGTGGTGGAAGAAGCAGAGGAGAGGAAGAGAAGGATTCTGTCTCTTTTGGTTTCCTTTATTCTTGAATTGAATTAGGGTGAAGCTGATACTCATGAGGCCTGTGGAAAAGAAAAAAAGGGGTAAGGAAAGGAGAAAGAAAGTGTTGAGAGGGGCCATGGCAGTTGCATTGCACTGCATGGGGATTTGCAGGAGAAGGAGAAGAAGAAGGTTAGAGAGAGAGAGAGAGTATAGTGGTAATTATGAGGGAAGAAGGGGGGAAAAGGTAAAAGGGAGGGTAGGGAGGGTAAAAAGAAGGTGGTTAAGATGAGATTCCGCCCATGGAAGATGACATATGCAAAGTACTATATGTATAGAGAGAGAGAGAGAGAGAGAGAGAGAGAGAGAGAGAGGTTTATACTTTTACACTTTGCAATGGAAGAGAGGGGAACTTTTGGTTTGTCTGGTTGTAGAAGAGAGGGAGCTGGGAAAAGATGCAGTCTTTTTCGTTAGGCAAATAGCATGTATTTGTACCTTAACCCTGTTGCCTGCTACTTACACTCCCTATGCTTTCTAAAAGCTTTGGATATACCCTAAACCCAAACCCTTTCTTTGCTTTTCTGAATCCCTAGAATCTTGCTGCCTCTCTTGATTGATATGCTTTAACTTTGGGGCTGGGTTCGTTGAATATGTTTCGTCCACTTATTCCTGAACAAGGTTTATGGTGTCTACGAGTTAGGACGTTATAATGCGCTAGTGGCCATTGGATCGTAGAGTATGAGGTAACGATATTGATGTCGAATAGTATAACAATCTCTAATGCGTCAATGGTTGTTGGATAACGATAACATTAAAATGTCATAACCCAATAACTGTTATGACCATAACATGATTGGCTATACCTATACATCGGGTCATGCATGGATGTCACGACACGTGCCCATTACGAGTCTACTAAATTGTGTTGTACATTTATGATTAATGCACCTCATAAAAATATATGTCACGCTAGTCGTCACTTTTACAATCTTGCTCGAGGGGCATGAACTCAAACAAGACTTGGATGTGTCTCATCTATGTGCCTTGTCATTTTCTCTTCATTTTAATGTTATATTGATGATGAATGACATCTAAGTTCTCTACCATATAGTCTTTACAAAAATTTATTTGTATTTTTAAACTAAATAATTTTATTGCAAGTAAAACTTATAAGTTGGTAGCAATGCATTCAAAATTTAGCTTCTATGTAAAAGCGAAATGATGGGTAAAAGTAGTAGCGCAAAACCGAAGCATAAAAGCGTAAATTTTTAAATTTTCTATAAATATTTCAGAAATTTTCTACCAGTAAATTTTATTTTGAAAAATATAAACAAATAAATAAACTAGTTCATATATCAAAGATAATTATCACACACATAAACTAAATTCATAGACGACCTTCAAAAAAAAAAATTAATAGACTTAACAAGCTTTTTCCGTCTTCCTCCTGCTTTAAGGGGAAAAAATATGAGAAGAGGAAGTCATCGACAACTAGGGATGTCAATTCAACACGTAACCATGGGTACCCTACCCGACCGTAACCGGTCAACGAGGGTAATTACCCGTTTTGACGGGTTAAGGGGCGGGTACGAATAATACCCGGTTTCAAAACAAAGGGTAGGATACGGGTATGGTAATCGATAATACCCATCCCGTTATACCCGCCCCGCTAACCAAAGGGTCAATTTCCCTTGAGAAATTTAGTTTAGCTTTAGAAATTGAGTTTAGCTACCATTATTGATGATGAAGATGTAGACGATTATTATGTTTGTGTGGATTATAGAAGCAAGAACAATTATTATGTGTTTGCTGTTTTTATTTGTGTGGATTGTTGAAACTAGAACAGTTACAATTATTGAGAATTTTTAATGGACAACAGTACGTGTGTGCATATATGTGTATAAGTTCATAGTTTAGGATTCGTACCCATGGTTACCCGAATACCCATGGTTACCCGGTGGGTAGGGTATGGTTATATAATTTTTATACTCGGTGGTTATTTGGTCGGGTATTTTAGAAGGCTCTACCCGGCGAGTTAGGAGTTGGTATAGGGTAAACCCGCACCCGACCCTACCCATTGCCATCACTATCGACAACTGATGAAGCTATAAGGATTGTAGGAAAACTTTAATAATTTGTGAAAGTGGTGGCAAATGGTAGACTGAAGGAGACGAGTTTCGATGACAACGAAGTCACAGGGGTGTGGTTAGGGATGGCAATGGGTAGGGTTGGATGCAGGTTTACCCTATATCAATTCCTAACCCGCCGGGTAGAGCCTCCTAAAATACCCGATCAAATAACCACCGGGTATGAAAATAATATAACCATACCCTACCCACTGGGTAACCACGGGTATTCGGGTAACCATGGCTACGAATCCTAAAATATGAACTTATGCACATGCATACTGTTGTCCATTAAAAATTCTCAATACTTGTAACTGTTCTAGCTTCAACAATCCACACAAATAAAAACAACAAACAGATAATAATTGCTCTTGCTTCTACAATCCACACAAACAAAAACACAATACATCATATTTGGTCTAGCTTCAACAATCCACACATAAACAAAAACAACAAAGAGAATATTAGAACCAGACCACATCAAATGCTCATTGCTTTACTTATGCTTCATGACATCCATCAAGGCATCATTAGTAGAACAATTATCCAAGGTAATCGTAAATACCTTTGTGACAATATCCAAGCAAATAAAGTTTCAAGAAGAGCCTGAGCAAGCACCTCACTTGTGTGTGGGCAAGGAAAGTCGACTGCTGGGTAGAGTTAGGGCTAGGGAAATTGACCCTTTGGTTAGCGGGGTGGGTATTATCGATTACCATACCCGTACCCTACCATTTATTTTGAAACCGGGTATTACCTGTACCCGCCCCTTAACCCGTCAAAGCAGGTAATTACCCTCGTTGACCGGTTACGGTCGGGTAGGATACCTATGGTTACGGGTCGGATTGACATCCCTAGGTGTGGTGGGAGTTTTAGGGATGAGAAAGGACTCTGGGGACAAGAATCTAGATGCAGCGTCGACTGGTTTTGGAGAGAGAGAAAAGACAGAAAATGGAGAAGTGGTGATTAGGGATGAGGAATTTGTAGAAGGAAAGAATATAAAAATAACATGACTAAAAACAAGTGAAAATGCATAATTTTCTCTTTTTTTTAGCAAAACTAAATCAAACCCGACCCAATATTGTATGTTGTGCACCGATTTGTTCTAAAGAAAACTAGACCAGACCAAAATCGAACGAATATAATATGATTCGGTCCTTGATGCTATGAATTTTATAAATTCTGATGGAAAATGAACCTGATTGATATTTGGACCGGACCATACTAGACCAAATGCAATGTTGGTACGATCCTTTGGTCCTAATATTTATTTTTATTTGTACTTTTGAAATGCATTTCTCAAGGTTTAGTCTGATTTGGTTCAAATTAGATCATTGCACACCTCTACAATATTATCCTAATACCTGGATATCAAAAGCCTTAAAAAGCGCTCTAAAAGCTAGCTTCTAAAGCTTTTACGAGGATTGATGGTTTTTACTTAGAGTACGTTTGGTGCAAAAAGACTATTATGCAAAAACTACAATATTTGAGATGTTCAAATCGTAAAAGCGTAGACTTTTAGATTTTAATACTAGATTTTGGCTGCATTGTTTGAGAGTAGGTAAATATTATTACAATTTACAAGGTTAAATTATGTACTAAATAATTTTTGTTGAATAGAATTATTGGCAACATGTAAATTTTTCTCAAGAATGTCTCAATTTATCGTATCTAAATGATCTGAAATAACAATTACATAATAGAACAACATTTTGTGATTATACAATCTATGTATAAGTGCTTATACCCTGTCTAATCGTAAAAATATATGTTGATGCAATCCGTAAACATCAAAAGTATCAAATAGAAGAGTTGTGAGCTACTTGATTCTAGGGGGATGCATGGGTTCGTACGTACTTCGTAATTATTATGGTATTCGTGAGTTAACCTATTGAGTCTCAATGAGTGTATATGGAGATAACATGAGTGCCACATAATTGTTATTAATTTGGTTCTGCATGATCGGACGAAACATATCGATGCAATGTGCATTAATCAGACAATTGATGGTAAGGATGCTATTTAAGTGGTATCTTCCGATTGAACAATTTAATTAAAGTAATGGTGTCGAGTGGTTGAATATACTATTTTATCGGATATCCCCAAAGAGACGTTGAGGTTGCGATTGATGGCACCTCATATGAAATTTTAGACTTACAATTGTTTTTGCCAACACATATCTTGTACGAGCAATAGATAAACAAAGATATACTGTCCAAAGACATAACCTCAACCATCAACCAAAACCAAAATATATACCACATGATATAACAAATAAGTTTACATGCTACAAGATACGCGACCCTATTAACTCGACGAGCTATTAATCGAATCGGTAACCCAAACTCTCCATTATCAATTTATCATTCCGCAGATGAAGAACTTCCTTAGATTTACATATAAGAAATTGGCGGGACACCACCATCCATCACGCCCAAGGTAAGAAGACAAATCACTTTGGGAGAATGTGCTTTTCTTTTTAATTATAAGTTGGCTACACCATTGCAATGGGGACATTTTTGCACAGAAATTGATAAAGGAAACGACTGGAGAGAAAAGAAGTAGAAGAGGAAGGAGAAGTAGAAGCCTGTGAAAGTGAAGATAACTGACTCCAAAACTTTCATGGTATCATGTGTTGAGCATCTTTTTCACAACCGTTGACATTTGTCTCTTGCTTCCTTATTTTTGTCTCTTTTCTATTATCTATTTGGCTTTCATTGTTTGGTTATGATAATAAGTACTCCATCGGACCACCAAAACACTCTGCACAATTTTTCATACAAAGATTAGTCGGCCCGCGCGCGCCCCTTTTCGTCTTTCATGCTCACGCTCGCGCGCTACCTAATTATTGCCTGTGGCTGTACATTTCTCTTTAACCCCGCCATTAGCACTTACCTCCGCTTTGGAGAAAGCCTCCAGCCTGCCTGCGCAATTCCCTTCCTTTGAAGAAAAGAAGGCAAGCAAAAGAAAAGATAACGTAGTCATGTA